GCAAAAAAATTGCTAATAATTAGAAAGAAATTCTTTAAAATACTCCAAGACAGGGTGGCCAGTGAATTTTCATTTTGAAATTCCCGGTTCAAATCTTAAAAAATTTCCGGTTGTTCCTATTCAACAAAAAACGAAATTGGACGCATTTTTTAGAACGTGCTGAAAGGAATTTAGTGAAAGGATAAAAAAATGATTTAAGAAGATTCCCAAGATTCTGGGCTTTGAAATTTGTGTAGAGTCTGAAACTTAAACTTCTTTTCTTAATTTGAGATTAATACAATCTTCGTGATGCAAGATTTGGAGAAAAAAATAATTAAAATGTGAGATTTTGAAAAAAATTCAAGATCACAGATTTGTAAAAAAAATCATACTCATAGTCGTGAGACTTGGAAGCATTTTAAGGGTCATAACAAATTACAGAACAATCTATAGAATCTAGCGGATGAACCCTGGAATTTTTAGTAAAATTTAAAAGAATTCAAAGTGTTGATTTCAAACAAGAACGATTAGCTCACAGTTTTCCAAGAAGAAGTTCGGAGAAGAATTCCTGAATTATTCTGACATGAAATCCTTAGAAATTGTTAGATGAATTAGGAGGGATTTCTGTGGAGAAGAATGCAAGTTCTTAATTACATTGTTAGGTAATTTTAGAAGATTTAAAAAGGAGTTGTGATAAAAAAACTTTACGGAAAATTCCTACGTGATTTTGAGAAGATTTGTATGGGGATCGTGAGGAAAATGACAGATGAATTTTAAGAAGAATTCCAAGAGAATTATGATCAGAATTCAACAAGAAACAGAGTTCTAAGAGTGTTCTGGCAATATTGATTGCAAAAAAATTGCTGATAATGAGAAAGAAATTCTTTAAAATACTCCAAGGGGTTTCTAAATAAAATTTCTGCTGTTTTGAATAGAGTTAGAAGAAATTTTTGAAAAGATTTTCAAAGGAATCAAAGTTTCCGGATAGGCTCAAGCGGATTCTAAGAAGGATTCCAATCAAATTCTTACAAGTGGTTGCAAGGAAATTCCAAAAAGAATGCAACGGTAATTATTACACTGAGTGTTTTCTGGTTTATTTCAGAATAATTTCAAGATAATTCAGAGCAGAACTGCAAGTTAATTTTGGAGTTCATATCATGAGAATTTTGAACAACGAAAAATTAAAACCCCGGAAAAGAATAATTCAGATTCGGTTTTTACAAACATTTGTTCCCAAAGTCCAGCATCTTCAATATTTTCTTTTAAGGACCATGCACTTTACATCTGAAATTGAAACGACAAAAATCAATTTGCAATATTGCTGAGTGATAAATTATAAAAATAATTAAAACTGAAGAAAATTATGCATTAATAGAGATATTTATTTGGTAAAGCATCACTCCGTTTTAATGGTTTATTCTGAAATTCTGGTGTAAAAGTTTGTTCCTATGTCATGGTTAATTTATTTTTCCCGGTTCCCTTGCCGAATTCCCGGTTACTTTTCAAATTCCCGGATATTTCCCAGTATTCCCGGTTTACTGGCCACCCTGCCAAGAGGTTTCTACATAATTTCAAATTTCGAAAGATTTATGCTAGAGTTATAAGAAAATTTTGAAAAGGATTTCAATGAAATCGAAGTCTCCGAATAGGTTTAAGTGAATTCTAAGAGGGATTCCAAACAATTTCTTAGAAGGGGTTTCAATGAAATTCCAAAAAGAATTCAATTGTAATTATTACGCAGAGTGTTTTCTGGTTAATTTTAAAAGATTCTATAATAATTCAGAGCAGAATTTCAAGTTCATTCTGAAATTCATATCATGAGAATTTATAATAAAATAAAACCCGGGGAAATAATAGTTCTGTTTCAGTTTTTACAAATATTTGATTCGTAAGTCCAGCATCTTCAATATTTTGTTTTAAGGCTCATGTAAATGAAATTGAATTGCAAAAATCAATTTGAAATATTGCTGAGTGATTAAATTCTCAAAACAATAAGGCGGGAATCTGAAGAAAATGCAGCAAATAGAGAAAGACATTCATTTGGTAAAAAATCACTCTGTTTTAACGGTTTATTCTGAAATTCTGGTGTGAAAATATATTCCTATGGTGTCTAATTTATTTTTCCCGGTTCTCTCATCGAATTCCCGGGGTTTTCCCGGTTACTTTTCAAATTCCCGGATATTTACCGGTATTCCCGGTGCGCTGGCCACCCTGTACGTTATATCGAGATATATCACAATAAATTCTAGCCTTCTAGCAAAGACAACAAATAAAGAAGACTGGCATCTCTTCCATTTTCTCATACGAACGCTATGAGACAGGTACAATCGCATCATCTGCCGCTCAAAGGTAAATGCTGCGAACGAATTTGATAGCAAAGATTATATCCTCAGACGAAGGGTTTGTGTATTCGTTCATTTTTTATGCGTTGCTTCCACCTTCACTCAAGCGCAGCGCTACCAACAATCAATACGAAACTAACGATTTTAAATTGGCTCACTACTTGACTAGCCTATTGATCCCAAGCAAATCGACTAACGTACCCCATTATAGTATAAATTCCAGTACTACACTATGTTTGTTTTGATTCGCTATGAAAGTTTGACAGATAAAATGAGGGGTTAGTGGATCTTCCTATGTTTCGAGGGGTGAATCGATTAGCTTGGGACCGAAGATAGTACCAGAGCTGAGCCAAAAAGTTGAGCACGTTTCTTCGGGACCTTCTTGTCTTAGAATTACCTCTATGGCGCTACTGTATCTGTCGCTTGGATTCTGGCAAAATTGGGTTCTTTAAGGGTATTGAGGTAAATACATATTCGTAATCTGCATTAATAATGGAACCCAAAATTTATCAATTTGGGTACACTGGAACTATTTTAAATAAGTTCGAATACATTTGCAAAAATCACCTTATTAGCGCCCCTCGATGTCACTTTGTATGGGAGCGAGCTGTCATTTTGTTAGTTTAGTGTCAAACAGCGAAGTTGTTATTTTGCTTTAAATCTTAATTTAAAAATCGAGATGAAAGTGTGTGGGTTCGAAAAAAAAATATCGCTGTGCTCAGAAAACGAAGCTCTATCGGATGATGTATAAAAAACAATACATTTTTCAAAATTAAAGAACCCAATTGCCAATCTTCTTGATTTGTTGTCTTCGCTTCTAGCCTATCTATGGGCCTATGTCGAAAACGTAAACAAACCAGAAAATGAATTTAAAAAAATTTCCGCCGCAATTCAATTCATATTTAAGAAAATTGAAGTATTTTAGGTATTTATATAGTTCACAATAACAATAGTAACTGTATCTCAGTATACAACATCTAAAATATGTGAAAAGCTTTCAAAAATATATGAAAATCGATTACAATTTAATTTCATAAATTAATAAGCCTTTTTGTGTTTCTTTCAATCGATAGGCCCTTTTTGTTAAACTGTTGCTAAGCCTTTTCGCAACGTCAAATAAATTCAAAACAAATCATCGGCCCTGCCTCAAGCAATAGGACTTAGCTTTGATTTCAAAATTTTCAATCATCGGCCCTTCTACGTCACCTGACGTATCAATGAAATTAAATAAATGAATGGTTGGCCGTTTAAGCGTGCGGGCCTATTAATGAATAGAAAAATTTCGTTGATCGGTCGTTTCGAAAATCGAGTTATTTTGAATGATTTTTCTCGATTATGCGGAACTTTCCTACACGATTAGTAGCTATCAAGCAGTGCTAAAGAATGGTATCAAAACCCGATTTGTTTACGTTTTGGACATAGGCCCATTTTAAATGTTACTCTGGAATTAACGTCCAAGATTTTCACATTATTTTTGCAATACAGTCTCTTTTCGCGGGGGTTGCCTGCAACCAATTTTCTTTCTGTAGGATGAGATTCATACCAATATTGTTTTCATTTATTGTACTGCAACTTGGTTATTGCCAACTTGAGTGTATCCAACGAAGGCAATTAATTGATCGCAGATTTACTTTTCCTGCTTCAATAATAGACTACAGATCAGTTGTTCGACCTGTGTCCCATGGAAAGCAGGAAATCTACCAATTTTTTCTATAGAAATGAAATCAATACATTGACAGAACCCTATCCCACGAATAGTCGTTATCAGAAGCTGATATCAACTGAAATTCGAAAAAAATAAATGGAGATTGATCGGTCACACTACCAAGGCCGGAATCCTTGAAAACATAAATCTTTAACTTGACAAAAATTGCAGCCAGAACCTTGAAATCAAAAGCATCGAACTTTTTAACAAATTTCTCAACAACACTACCAACGAATGAGTAATCGTAAATAATATACCCATCGCCCCACTTTCGTTTCGACACAAAGGTGCGCAAACCATAACCCATCACAACTTTTACACAACATTGCGCGCCTCTGGCAGCACTGCACTAGTACTGGGGCCCCCTTTTCGACCAGAGCAGAGCCTGCCACCACGACGGCGAAGCAGCAGCAGCAGCAAGCAAGCGATGACGAGGCTTTTGCTCCCGCTTCTCTGGCTACCTTTTTTTTCCATTCCTCTTTTGCCGTGTCTGCTGCTCTGCTGCTGGAGCTGATGACGAGCCCGAGGAAAGACATGATTCAGCAGCGAATGAGCAAGCAAGCAATAGGCTGCGTGTAATCTACGTTCTTCTTCCGTGCCTCCCCCGACATGATCCACTCAGCCCCTGCGTTTCTCCTCACCCAAAAATCGACCGAAACGCGATGCCATTCCAGAATCCCGATCCTTTCACAATGGAAAATTTCTGCTTACCAATCTGCGCTTCCGTGTAAAACATGGAAAAAGTCTCAGTATTGTGATCCACTTTTCAGTCCAGATACTTCCCGTCATAGACCACCCTCATTTTTTCCGTCGTTTTTGATCAAAAGTAAAAAATCTTCCACCACCCAGTTACACACTCCGTATTCTAACTAGCACGGGAACCTTGCTCTCATTCAGCACCTGCCACAAACTGATCGTTTCTAAATCCTTCGGAATCGGAAAATCTCCTTCAATTTGTCGACGTGCACACTTACACAGCTTTTCTTTTTCCTGCGGAGAAAACGTACTTTTCTGCTGGACAAAACGCTCGCCTGAATCATTCACAGCACCCAGAAGAAACGACACGCCGAACACTAACCGGACCCGGAGTTGGTTGTTATCGCGTATTGGAGGAAGTTTGGGCCGAGGCCACTCTACTGCAACACCACTACCGCTGGAACAGAACACAGGACAAGCCGCGACGGAACCGAACCGAACCCAAAACTGCCGACCGACAGAAGATCCGGAGTTTTTGCAGTCAAGAACGCACGGAAAGACGAACTTCACACGTCAAGATGGCGGCGAAATTTTCTTCCGAGCTTTTTTTTCTCGTCGTCGCTTTCCTCTTCGCCCAACTCTCTACTCCGTACACGTACGAACAACTGAAAGGAAAAAAAACTTACGCCGTCCCTTGTGCACAGCCGACGATGCAACCCGTCCCACTCTGACCAGCGGCGAGCGAATGAGGTGTGGTTGCGCTATCTCAGTTTTGCGTTTGCGGTTTCTGCTTCTCGCTGCTGCCACGTCCTCCTGCGAAAGTTGATTCCGATTTCGCCGGTCGGCTCCGAGTGTACTAAAAAAAACCCCGAAAGGGTGACGTTTCGCGTCCGTCACACGCAGGGGTGGACCCCAACACGGGCAACTTGAAATGGTTGAGTGCGGATAATAGGGTAATACGATTTCACGAGAGCAAGATCTGTGTGGAACCCGAACAACCGTTCGTGAAACTTCTTCGAAGTTCTTTATACAGAAATAAAGATTTATGTCGGCAATTCTTTACTTTAAATTTTCTATGATATCGATGTACAAATTTAAAAATCTTTATTGATCGATACTTACATTTAAGATTATTTCTTCATTCGGTCATATGATAGTAATCTATGAAGGTACCATACTAAATTTCTTTTAATTTTGATATGTCACATGGACTTAAGTATTCTTTACAAATATTCATCAATAAATATTTAAATACTGATATCACCGTAACTTTGAACTTTGACAAAGAACAACCAAGATTGCCATCGATGCACATTTATAATCTCCTTGTTATCGATTTGTATCGCTGGTTAAAGAGAGTTCGAGGCACACCAGGTGACAGATGGCAATGTTTATATTATTTATCGAAATATTCGGCATTTCATCGGAAGAAGCAATCTGCCGGTAAATGAACGAGAAGACCGATGGCCGCGACGCAGCAAATGTTGACAAGTTTACTTTTATATATTTAATAACCCGTGATAGCATGCGTGGTGGGTTTCACGGCATTCGGAACCCAATGTGGAAAATTAATACCTTTTTGACCTCTATTGCACCTACATGGCTGACTGGTTGATGGTTACGACAAATAAATATTGGATTCATGTATGAAAAGATTTACAGAAATTTCAATACACCACATACTAGAGTGTGTTTGCCTGCCGTTGATAAGCTCATCAACAGCAGCCGTGGACCCGAGGATAAGTAACCAACAACGAAATCAGTACACCCCAGATGGCACGGGATCGAAACTAGAAATTATGCAGATAAAAAATGACAAAAAATCAGCAGTTGTGCATCGATATTTTAATTTTACAACAGAAATCGATATTTTGATCTGGTAACACAATCGATATTTTAACATTGATAACGATTGATAGCAATATTTTGAGAAAGATCTTTATAAACGATTCACGATTAGACTTTTAGCATCTTTACAATTATTCATGAAATGGTGACGATCGATGTATAGAAAATTAAAGAAAATTAACGAAATGGTTGGTCGGGAAGTAGTTATTAGAAAAACTATGGAGAAAAAGTGAAGTAAATTCTCGTGAGAATAATGAAAAATACGATCTAGAATGAATTTCCAGAGTATTCAGGAAAAAAACAAATAATGGAGTGTTCTGCATATAATGCATAGAATTTGGAATCTGTTATGGAGAAACTTTCTAGGAAATACCGGAGAGGATGATCATTAAAAGGAATCCTAAAACTAACTCTCACGTAAAGGTCAAGATTCAAATCTTATCCCGGCACAAGTCACGAATGACCTCAAATCTATTAAAGTGACTATGACACAAAAAAAGATCTATGAACACATTTAGAAATTATCTTGAGGAAATCTTTAAGAAATTTCCAAATGTATCCTGAGAGAAGTTCCAAATAAATAATTTAGTTAATTCTGAAATTTACTGAATATTTCACAAGATCCTGCACACATAAATTCAAGTTCATAATCAGGATTTTTTTTTCAGATTCAGAGTTTTTGTTTGGCCAAAATTTGAAGATCTTGTGGTATAAATCCTTCCGGATTGTCACTGGAATCATTTAAGAAGATTTTGGACGATCAACTCTGGAACATTGTAAATTATTTTAAATCTCAGACTTCATTTTTGGTATTTCATGCTAAGGAAATGTTAAGAATTTCGAGTTTGATGAAATATTAAAGATTCTAAGTGAAATATTCTAGATATCAGACTTAGAATTTAATTGAATATATATATATTTAAGACTATTAGTTGACTAGCCTATTGTCCCAAGCAAATCGATTAACGTACCTCCTTCTAGTCGAAATTCTAGTACTACACTATGTTTGTTTTGATTCGCTATGAAAGTTTTACAGATGAAATGAGGGGTTCGTGGATCTTCCTATGTTTCGAGGGGTGCATCGATTAGGTTGGGACCGAAGATAGTACCAGAGCTGAGCCAAAAAGTTGAGCACGCTTCTTCGGGACCTTCTGGGCTTAGAGTTACCTCTATGCTATTGGGTTGCTCAACTTCGAAAAATATAGCGATTTTTATACATTATCTGATAGAGCTTCGTTTTCTGAGCACAACGATATTTTGATCGATTCCGTAAACATTCATCTCGATTTTTAAATAAAGATTAAAAATTTTGATCGTTGACACTAAATCTATTCGTTGACAGCTCGCTCCCATACAAAGTCCCGCCAAGGGGCGCTAAGATGGTGATTTTTGTTAATGTAATCGTACTTATTAAAAAAAGGTTCAAGTGTACGAAAATTGATGAAATTTTGGATTTCGGTTCCATTTTTAATGCAGATAACGAATATGTATTTACCTCACTACCCCTAAGCAACCCAATTAGGGTTATCAGGGCCTCCTTTGGCTCAGTCTGTAAAGGGGCAGCAACAAAGCAAGACCATTCTGGAGCTGGCTGGGTTCGATTCCCGGTCCAGTCTAGGAATTTTTCTGCATGGAAAAATTCTCGACTTTGCTGACTCTATACCACACAATTATGCTAATGCAAAAATGGTACAGGCATCGAAAGCTCTCAATTAATAACTGTGGAAGTGCATCTAGATCACACTAAGTTGAGAGCACGCAATAAGCTAACATGCGATAAGCAATAACCTTGAAATGCGAAGAAGAAGACTATCAAAATATTTGTGATGCCTCCAACACTAATTCGACAGTGAGCATGCATAAGGGCGTAAATGCGATGATCGATTCTCTCTTTTGTTAATTAACGTTTCTCGGTGCGTTTGCTGCTGCTCTTGATAATCAATATAACCTGTTACAATTCTGCATTGAACAAAATTCTAGAAAATTGTTTCGGTTAGCTGTAGCAATGCAAAGAGAAACTCGATGAAGAGAATCGATCATCGCGTACACGCCCTTATGCATGCTCACTGTCGAATTACAACAGTTCTCACGCAACACGAGAAAAGGGCCTATCGTTGTTGATCGATTCTCTTCATCGGTTTTCTCTTAGCGAATAACCCGACTGTAAATCAATTTTCCATTGGGTGTGTTGTTTCAGGCGTTAGCTAACATCGTCTTCTGTCGAACTGTGTTGCGAGCTTAGCGAGAAATTCGTTTAAGTAGCCGTGGTAAACCATAGAAAAAGTCGATGAAGAGAATCGATCAACGATGATAGGCCCTTTTCAAATGTTAAGCGAGAGTTCTGGTCTGTTCGTTGCTCTTTTTGTCACACTTGACAAGCTGATTTTTAATCAAATCTTTTCAACAATGTGGTTTCTCGATGAACATTTAATAAGGTCCTATCTGCTTTGAACTCTTCATCGACTTTCTCTTTTGATAACCATAGTTTGTTAAAGGAGGTTCTTATCTAGCGCCCAAAACGTTAAATACAACAGAGAAAGGTTGTGTAGCTGAGTTATTAACGAAAGAGAAAGTCGACAAAGAGAATCGATCAATGCAGATACGACCTTTTGAAATGTTTATCTAGATTTGATGTGATTTTTTAAAAGACAATTCAGTGCCAACATTTCAAAGGGGCGTAATTGCTTTTGCAAACAATGACTTTAGCCGTCAATTTCTCGCGAATGAAATCTTTCCTCTCCAAAATTACAATGCGAGCTGGTAGAGGAAACATTCCTCTACCTGCTGGTGTCATTATTTTTCATGAGTGAGCTTTTATTCGCGGGAAATCGACGGCTAAAGCCATTGTTTACAAATGCAATTACGCCCCTTTGAAATGTTGGCACTGAATTCTCGATTACTTTGTCAAAGGGACGTATCAGCTTTTGTAAACAATGCATTTGATCGTCGATTGCGCTTAACTTGTAGCTCGCACACGCTTACTAACACCACTTACAGGTAGGGGAACATTTCAAGCTGAACATTGCATTCGGTCATAATAACTTGAGCACAGAACCGTTTCTTAATGTGTTTGTCATATTAGATGCTAGATAAAAGCTTCTTTTATCGATCTGTGGGCTGAAAATACCTGGGATTGTATTCACATGGCCGTGGGGATGCAAAGAGAAAGTCGACGAAGAGAATCTGTCAATGTTACTTAGGACCTAATGCAATGTTCAGCTTGATTTCTCCTATCTGATGGTAGTGTTAGCATGCGTGGGCGAGCTACCAGCTACGCCAAATCGACGATCAAATGCATTGTTTACAAAAGCTGAATTCTTCACACGTAAAAAAGTGACTTTAGTGACTTCTGGCTACAAAAAGTGTCTTTTAAATTACTGATTTGAAAATAGTGACTTAGTCGCTAAAAAGTGACCTGCTACCAGCCTTGTCTACATAGCCTGTTAAAAGATAGTAATAAGAGTTGTAACAGATATCAGAAACCTTGCCCCTACTTTATACATGCTCCTCTACATACCCCTATCTACTCTATGTATACACGACGCCACTGTATCTCGATCAGGAATAAAACGTAATAAACACCACATGGTGTCAGAAGTGGTTTTCGCGCGCGGAAAAACCCGAAAAAACCGATGAAAATATCGCGGATACGGGAAAAATAGTTCGGAAACGCGAAACGTATAGTTGGACAACGTAAATATTGATTGGATACGGATCGGTAAAGCGTAAAAGTTGCGAAAATGGTCGATCCACCACAGCCACCGCCTCAGCAGCAAGCGAACAGCG